AGTGGACCCTACTTCAAAAACAAAATAAAGTAATGATAATGTTAACTAAAAGCTGTTGATTTCATGTGCAGTAAACTTCTGCTTTTTCCTCCTATCCAGCACATATGTAAGGAGCACCTACTATGGGCCAGGTACCATTGTAGGTAGGAGAGATACATCAAAGAAAAAAGTCCCAGGCTTCAGGGGGCTGGCGGGGTAACTCATTGATAGAGTGAGTTCAGGAGATGATTAGTTTAATCCCAATACTGCAAAACAGGGCAAAACTATGGAAAGAAGTTTAAAAAAAAAAAAGATGAGGGCAGTGACTAAATGACACACAAACAGATGCAGTAGGGAAGATAGGAGCCAAGGAGAAACACTGGGGAGGGAGACAAAAGTAGGGGCTTTCTCAGAACTCCATGAAGTTTTTTCACAATTCTGCCTTTACCCATTGTACAGATTCGGAAACTGAAGCCTAGAAAAGTTAAGTGACTTATCTAGAGCCTATAGAGGATTTGAAATCAAGCATGAACTCCTTCAAGTTTAGCTGTTTTAAGATAATGAAAGTCAAAAGGTGAAGCAAATCCTCCACTGCTGGATCCTATGAGAATTTTAAAGTGTGGGTTAGCTTTTTGGCTGGAAGCAGAGACAAAGTGGATTGGGTTCACTGGGTTCATTTTGAAGTCATTTCATTCCAGCTCAGTCCCAGTGGTGGTGAGCTTGCTTCATGCTGCCCGAGGCTTCTGCTTTGTCACCCTTCTAGATTGCTTCTATAGGGCTTGTTTTCTCTTTGCATCCCTAGCTTCTCTCCCACACTCACTTCTCCACTGATGATCTTGTTTTCCAATTCACCAAGAAGGTGAAGGCATTCAGAAGCACACTTCCCACTTTCCCCATGCCTCTACATCCACATCTTTCCTCTGCTTTCTTTCCCCATACTGTGTGTGAGCTCTGTGCTCCTGCCTGGGCCCATAGGTCCTTGTGGGAACAGCATCTCGTCCCCTCTTTGTGCCCAAAGACCCTCCTCTGCATCAGTATGCACTCACACTTCACTTTTCTCTATCTTAAAGTGAATTAGCAGAAATCTCTTTGACTCTGCTCATCTCTATCTCATCTGTATACTTTAAAAAAAAATAGCTGGAATCCTCAGAAGTCTCTGTGGCTACCTTTTCCTCCCATTCTTTCTTAGACTGGCTCCAACCAGCCAATCATCCCTTATCTTCCATCAGAAGAGCTCTTGTGGAGCTCTTGACTTCAGCTATCTCCTTACTCCTCGTCCAGTAGTCAGCCTCTCAAATTTGAGGTAAATCAGTTTGTGGACATCAACACAGTTAATCACTTTAATTTGAAGGACTTGGATTGGTTTCTAGGAAGCCAGTTCTGCAGGACAGACACCAGGACAGACACCAGGTTCTCTGTCTTCATTGGTTTTACATCCACTTCTCAATTGGCATGTTTTAGGGCTTCATCCTCAGGCTCCCCTCGCCCCTTCCCCTGCAAGTTACTGGAAACTCAGAACTCAGGGCCTTGTGCTTGCAAGACTGGTAGTCTACCCCTAGTCCTGTTGTTTTTAGTTTGGCAGATAGTGCCTAACTTTGCCTGTGCTGGCTTACACTACACTACATTTCTCCTGTCTCTGCCTTCTAAATAGCTGGTATTACAGGTTTGTGCCATTACATTTAGCCATCCTTAGACTCCTAAATCTCTCTTTACACTTTTTTTTTTTTTTTGGTCCAGTCATGGAGCCTGAACTCTGGGCCTGGGTGCTGTCCCTCAGCTCTTCAGTTCAAGGCTAGCGCTCTACCACTTGAGCCACAGTGCCACTTCCGGCTTTTTTCTTTTTGCTTATCTGGTGCTGAGGAATCGAACCCAGGGCCTCATGCATGCAAGGCAAGCGCTCTACCACTGAGCCACCTTCCCAGCCCCTCTCTTTACACTTTTAAGTGCCTACATGGCCTCCTCTGGTGTCATGGCTTTGAATGCCACCTAGGTAGAGTAGAGGCTGGTAGCTCTCAACTCTCCTCTTAACCTGCCCTCTACTCTGCATATATAATCAAATACTACTTCATACCTTCTTCTGATATTTAACAAGCAATTCTTGTTTTCATCTCAAAAAGGTGACTTGTTGCTGGTCACATTGGCTAATGCCTGTGATCCTAGCTTCTCAGGAAGCTGAGATCTGAGGATTGCAGTTTGAAGCCAACCCAGGCAGGAACATCCATGAGACTCTTATCTCTCCAGTAAACTATCCCCAAAAGCCACAAGTAGTGGAGCACTATCTTTGAGCAAAAATCTCAAGGATAGCATCCAGGACTGACACATATGCGCTTACCCACCTGCATGTGCTTGTGTGTACTCCAATCTTGGGGCTTGAACTCAGGGCCTTGAGCTCTTACTTGGCTTTTTCCACTCAAGGCTGATGCTCTACCACTTGAGCCACACCTCCAGTTCTAAAAGTGATTATAAAAAGCTGGGCATTGGTGGCTCACACTTGTAATGTAATCCTAACTACTCAAGAGGCTGAGATCTAAAGATTCAGGTTCAAAGCCAGCTAGGGCAGAAAAGTTCCCTGTAGACTCATATTTCCAGTCAACCACTCAAAAACCAGAAATGGCACTGTAGCTCAAATGATAGAATTTCTAGTTTTGAGCAAACTCAGGGACAGTGCCCAGACCCTGAGTTCAAGCCCTATGACCAAATAAAAGGCAGTGGCGGTAGCTGTAGTGAATTATAAGACTGTTGGTCATAAGTCTGCTAGTTACATACCAATTTCAGGGATATTTAGATACTGATTTTTTTTCACTGATACCCCTCCCCCCAATTTTGAGTACCTTTTATGTTAGTAGCTAAGGTCTTCAATTGGAACAGTTAGAATGTAATCTTTTGAGCCTCTAGTTACATTTCACAAGATAAAATGTTGCTTTTGAGTCTAAAATGTTTCTTTTTTTTTTTTAACCTCACACATCCTCTAAAATGTTTCTAAGAAACTTCTAGACTACTTTATCTAGAAATCTTGAGGCCTTGAGTTCAAACCCTAGTACCAACAATAACAAATAAAAACAACACCCCCTTGTTTAGTGATGCTTATTGGAAATTCACAATATCAGTTAAAGAATTACAATAAACAGTAAGACTATAAAGGTACAGTTTAAAAAGAAGTAGGTGCGGGGCTGGGAAGTTGGCTCAGTGGTAGAGTGCTTGCCTTGCATGCATGAGGCCCTGGGTTCGATTCCTCAGCACCACATAAGCAGAAAAAAGCCAGACGTGGCACTGTGGCTCAAGTGGTAGAGCTCTAGTCTTGAGCTGAAGAGCTGAGGGACAGGGCCTGGGCCCAGAGTTCAGGCCCCAAGATTAACCAAAAAAAAAAGGAGGTGGTAGCTTATAAGATTAATGGTTTGCCCAGTTGCTTTCTTTTGCTGTGTGTGTGTGTGTGTGTGTGTGTGTGTGTGTGTGTTTGTGTGTGTTTGTGTGTGTTTGTGTGTGTGTGTGTGTGTGTGTGATTGTTATTTGTTGTGGGACTTGAACTCAGGACCTGGATGCTGGCCTTGAGCTCTTTTACTCAAGGCTAGAGCTCTATCACTTTGAGCGACAGCACCACTTGCTGTTTTCTGGTGGTTAGAGATAAGAGTCCCTCACAGACTTTCCTGCGCCTGCTGGCCTTGAATCACAATCTTCAGATCTCAGCCACCTGAGTGGTTAGGATTAGAGGTGTGAGCCACCAGTGCTTTCTTTTTCTCAAATGTGTACTTTGATTTCATTTTTTTTTTTTTTTTTTTTGGGTCCGGTCGTGGGGCCTGAACTCTGGGCCTGGGCGCTGTCCCTCAGCTCTTCAGCTCAAGGCTAGCGCTCTACCACTTGAGCCACAGCACCACTTCCGGCTTTTTCTTTTTGCTTATGTGGTGCTGAGGAATCGAACCCAGGGCCTCGAGCATGCAAGGCAAGCACTCTACCACTGAGCCACCTTCCCAGCCCCGATTTCATTTTTTTTGTCAGTTGTGGGGCCTGAACTCTAGGCCAGAGCATTGTTCCTTAGCTCTTCAGCTCAAGGCTAGCCACAACACCACTTACTTTTTTTTTTTTGCTTAGGTGGTCCTAAGGAATTGAACCCAGGGCCTCATGCATACAAGGCAAGCACTCTACCACTGAGCCACCTTCCCAGCCCCTTGATTTCATTTTTTAAAAGTGATTCAGCCTGGTTTTTATTTAAAAATTTTTATTGCAAAATATACCTAACATAAAATTTCCCTCTTAATTTTTCTTTTTTTGCCAGTCCTGGGGCTTGAACTCCGGGCCTGAGCACTGTCCCTGAGCTTCTTTTGCTCAAGGATAATACTGTACCACTTGAGCCACAGCACCATTTCAAGCCTTTTCTGTTTATGTGGTACTGATACTTTGCCTCCCACCTAGGGAGTAGGTATCCTTTTGATCTCAGCTTTCTGTTAAAACTAATGGTCTTTATGAACCCAGGGCTTCATGCATGCTAGGCAAGCACTCTACCACTAAGCCACATTCCCAGCCCCACCCTCCTAATTTTTAAGTGTTGAGTACAATATTGTATTATTAGCATATTTTATGTTGAATTTTTTTTTTTTTTAACTTTTATTTGCTCCTTTTTCAAATGAGTGCTTTCTTGTCAAGGCATTTGGTTATTAAACTTTTGTTGTTGTTGGTCATGGGTCTTGAACTCTGAGGCTGAGCACTGTCCCTCAGTTCTTCAGCTCAAGGCTAGTGCTCTACCACTTGAGCCACAGCACCACTTCTGGTTTTCTGGGAATTGGAGATGAGAGTCTCATGGATGTACCTGCCCGGGCTGGCTTTAAACCATGATCCTTAAATCTCAGCCTCCTGAGTAGCTAGGATTACAGGCATGAGCCACTGGCACCCGGCTTGGTTCTTAAACTCTTGTTATTGATGGTTATTGATAATGTGAATATTGGTGATTACTGATAATGTGAGTGGTAGTGTTCTTGCATGCAACTGTGTTTGTGCCATTCAAGAATGCCCTTTCCTTCCTTTTGTAGATTCGGCGGAGGCGTCTGGCGCGACTTGCTGGTGGACAGACTTCCCAGCCAACTACCCCACTTACCTCTCCCCAGAGGGAGAACCCTCCTGGGCCTCCAATAGCAGCATCAGCTCCAGGCCCTTCCCAGAGTCTTGGTCTCAATGTCCACAACATGACCCCAGCTACCTCCCCGATAGGTGCAGCAGGTAAGCCTTTGCCTCCCACCTGGGGAGTAGGTATCCTTTTGATCTCAGCTTAGAGCCAGCAATTTTAAAAGGAAAAGAGCATTGTAGCATGCATTTGTTAGTGTATATTCATTTTGATAGTGACCTGTCAAAAGAAATTGTATTCTTTATCATATATATATATATATATGTATCTTATGTATATATCTTAATGTATCTTCTTTTTCAAACAGGCTCAGGTCTTATCTCTGACTAAGACTCAGTTTGCTTTTGCTAGTTTTATAAATCTGGTTGATGCATCTCTTTTTTTGGGGGGTGGGGGAGTCCGGTCGTGGGGCCTGAACTCTGGGCCTGGGCGCTGTCCCTCAGCTCTTCAGCTCTTCAGCTCAAGGCTAGCGCTCTACCACTTGAGCCACAGCGCCACTTCCAGCCTTTTTTCTTTTTGCTTATGTGGTGCAGAGGAATCGAACCCAGGGCCTCATGCATGTAAGGCAAGCGCTCTACTGCTGAGCCACCTTCCCAGCCCTGCATCTCTTTCTTGAATTCATCCCTCTGTCCCTTCCACTCCCTCCATCCTTCTTCCCCTTCATAGATTTACTGCTGTGCTACATGTGCAGCCCTTATGATGAAAGAATCTGAAAATACAAGATCAAAAAATGGCTCAATAAAATGATAGTAGATTTTTTGTCTTCATCTACATTAGCACAAAAATTTTAATAAATTTTAGTAGGTATTGAGGATGTAGCTCATTGGCAAGTATCTAGTGCTTATCTAGCATGTGCAAGATCCTAGGTTCCATCTCAGCACTGAAAAAAACAAACACATTTCTTCTGATGTGATGTATTTTAGAAGTATCTCATTGACAACTATTTAACTATGGTAAAGGTTCCTTTCTTTCTTTCACTTTCTTTCTCCCTTTCTTTATCTCTTCCCCTCTTTTCTCCTGTCCTCTCTCTCTCTCTCTCTCTCTCCTTTCCTCCCCCTCTCTTTCTCTGTCTCCCTCCCTACCTCCCTCCCTCCCTCCCTTCCTTCTCCTCTTTCCCTCTCTGTACCAGTCCTATGGCTTGAACTCAGGGCCTGGGCACTGTCCCTGAGCTTTTTTGCTCATGGTTTAGCACTCTAGTGCTAGCCATAGCTCCACTTCCAGCTTTTTGGTGATTTATTGGAGACAAGAGGCTCACAGACTCTCCTGCCTGGGCTGACTTTGAACATCAGTCCTCAGATTGCAGCCTCCTCAATAGCTAGGATTACAGATTGAGCCATTTGCACCCGGCAAAGCTTTTTTTTTTTGGGTCCGGTCGTGGGGCCTGAACTCTGGGCCTGGGCGCTGTCCCTCAGCTCTTCAGCTCAAGGCTAGCACTCTACCACTTGAGCCACAGCGCCACTTCCGGCTTTTATTCTTTTTGCTTATGTGGTGCTGAGGAATCGAACCCAGGAACTCAGGCATGAAAGGCAAGCGCTCTACCACTGTGCCAACTTCCCAGCCCCAGCTTTTTTTTTTTTAAAATACATGAAGCCATAATTGATATCTAGTACCTTTTGAGCTGTGGTCTGGTGCGTTGAAGGGCTCAGGATTGCAATGGTGTATTTGTCTTTTCCTTGGAAGAAGTATTTACAGCTGTACTGTTATCTCACCATGATTGGTCCATGCTTATAATTTTAGAATCAGTTTAGGGGGTATTCCTTCCTGTCATTTCTCTTTCTTACATGGCTGTATAACAATCTAGTTATCCTATTCCTCACCTGCCCTCTGTCTTGTGCACTAGAACAAGGCTAGGAGAAAACTCAGAACCATACTGTCATTTCCAATTCATGATCACAAACTCAGTTGGACCTATAGTATTGTCAGGTATTTCCATTACATTTTCTCATTCAGTTTCCCTCTCTGATAGTGGATTTTATTTATACCTTTCCTCCAACGTGCAATGCTTAATTCTCCATACACACCCTCAGGCTTTCTATTATATTGAGAAAACTGGTAGGCAGAAGGGAATCTCAATAAACCCCACCCTCTCATCCATCTCCCTACCTGATGCATGCCTAGTTCTTGTTAGGACAAACAGTTCCTATTCTATTGAAGCCTGGCCCCCCATATCACCGTTCCTCTTGTCTATTCAGAGCCATGGTTTCAGCAATTCCATTTCCCTCCTCTCATAAGATTTTTTTTTAATATAATATCCTGTGTACACCACTGTTACTTCTTATGGGAATCTTAAATAGTAACTCTTGATTCTTTCCCTTGCCCTTTCCACACATCTCTGTAACACTTCACAACCAAACTCTGAAATGGTTTACTAGTCTTCTTTCATCTCCTTTTTTTTGTCCTTGTGTCCTTTGCTGAATTGACTCCAAGTGCCCGAGACCTCTGTTGTTTGCTCTGAGTCACTGTCTGGTCTGACCTGTCAGCCTCATTTGGCATAGCTTTCATACTCTCCTTGAAACACCACCTTTTTCTTACTTCTAGAACATCAGCCTCTCCTCATATTTGTCCTGTTTTAGTTCTCTGCATGGTTCCTTTTCATTTCCCTGACTTTTATAATAGTAGGATGTCACAGTCCAATATTTAACCATGCTCTCTTTATCTGTGGTTTATCTTCTTATTGATTTCCAGCTTTAATTACTACCTCTAATTTGATGAGTCCTAAGTTTGCATCTTTAGTTCAGCCCTACTCTTTGAACCTCAGACTCATAATAATACAATGACTTTTTTTTTTTTTTTCTTGTGCTCTTCCTGGGGCTTGAATTCAGAGTCTGGACACTATCCCTGAGCTTTTGTGTTCAAGATTAGCACCCTACCACTTTAGCTACAGCTTCACTTCTGGCTTTTTGGAGGCTAATTAGAATTAAGTCTTAAGGACTTCACTTCCCTGGGCTGGATTTGATCCTCTATCCTCAGATATTAATATCCTGAGTAGCTAGGATTACAGGCATAAGCCTCCAGCACCTGGCTGGGAATTTTTTTTTTTTGTCAGTCATGGGGCTTCAACTCTGGGCCTGGGTGCTCAGCTCAAGGTGAGCACTTTACCACTTAAGCCACAGCACCACTTCTGGTTTTGTGGTGGTTAATTGGAGATAACTGTCTCATGGACTTTCCTGCCCAGGCTGGCTTTGAACCACAATCATCTCAGCCTCCTGAGTAGCTAGGATTACAGGCATGAGCCACCAGTGCCTGGCAGGGAAATTCTTTTAAGGGCCAGATAACCAATGTTTTTGCTTTTATAGGCCATAAGGTTTATAGCTGTTTACCTCTGTAAACCTTTGAGAATTTCATTTGTCTCTCTCTTTTTTTTTTTTGGTCATCCGTGGGGCCTGAACTCTGGGCCTGGGGCACTGTCCCTTAGCTCTTCAGCTCAAGGCTAGCTTTTTACCACTTGAGCCACACTGCCACTTCTAGCTTTTTCTGCTTATGTGGTGCTGAGGAATCGAACCCAGGGCCTCATGCATGCAAGGCAAGCACTCTACCATTGAGCCACCTTCCCCGTCCCACCTTTGAGAATTTCAAAGCAGCCTAGAACTAAACTAGATTTTTGCTTCCTCTTATTATTTCTTCCATTACTGGCGCATTCCCCAACATCTCTTGTCTATATTAATGGTATGACTTTCGAACTAGTCTCTCTGGCACCTGCCTGCTGAACTTTGGTCTGTTCTCAGTGGAGAGATGTTTGGCCCACTATCACAATAGTGCAGCATTGTGTAACAGCAATTCTATTACCACAAACTAACACAAAGACTTGGGCATCTCAAATAAACAAGTAAAAAGAAACAAAAACAATACTGGGTCCTAATGTGATCTCTGCTATAGTTCATCATTCAATTCCTGAACATTCCAGGGTGATCCTAACTTTTTTTAGGGCCTTTACACTTGCTGTCTTTATGCCTAGAACAGTTGCTTATCCTTGTAGTCCTAGCCACTCAGGAGGCTGAGATCTGAGGATCGAGGTTCCATGCAAGCACAGGCAGAATAGTCGATGAAACTCTTTATCTCCAGTTAACTACCAAAAAGAAAGCCAGAAAAGGAGCTGTGTCTCAATGGTAGGGTGCTGTCCTTGAGTGAGAAAGCCAAGTGAGAGTTCAGGGCTCTGAATTCAAGCCTCAATGCTGGTGCCTCACCACAAGAGAAGAAATAAACATTTTCAGGGTAATGTGGCTGTAAACAAGAGATTAGTCATTGTCCTCTCCTCCCTCCTTAAACACAGACAAATACTAAGTGCATGGTTGCCCATGGTGAGGAGCACCTTCCCCAGAATTCACTTAGTAGCTTTCTTAGTTGGGGTGCTTCCAATTGCAAAGAACGGAAGTAAGGCTCAAGAAGCCATAAGGGTCCTGCAAATAGCTTCTCCCTATGGAGTCCCAGTTGCTGCAGGGCCATCTGCTCAGTATTCCTTTGCCAGGGCTACCGTAACAACATGCCACAAACTTGATATGTTAGAACAACAGAAACTGATTTTCTATGTGAACCTTCAAGTCTGGAATCAGGATGTTTGGCCTGGTCGCTGAAGGCTCTGAGGAAGAATCTATCCTGACTCTTCTGGCATCTGCTGGTTGGTCCCTTGGCTGTGGCAGGAAAGCTCCAGGCCTTGCCTTCATCATGGCTGTCTTCTCTCCATGAATGTCTACTAATACTTTCTTATTCCTTCATTTTGCCATCTTAGATACTAGGGATTAGGGACTACCCTAATCCTATATGTCTTCATTTTAGACAGCTTATGGCTGCAAAGATCTCTCTTCTAATTTGGAATATTATTTCAGTTTTGTAGGTTTCCCTTTACACACAAGGTTAGGACAGAGACCATACTAGTGTTCTTCACATCCTAGTCCCCAGCACCATACTTAACTAATTTCTAGTAGGCACTTGATTACAGGAATCAAAGAAATACGTTTTTTTTATTGTTGGTAGTGGTGGTGGAAATATAAGAAGCACAATAAAAAAATTAATTAAATTTAAATTATAGGCATAGTGGCACATACCTATAATTCTAGCTACTCAGGAAGCTGAGATCTAAGGATCATGATTTGAAGCC